TCAACGTAATATGTTCTACACTGACAGCTCATCAGTAGAATATGTTCTACACTGACAGCTCATGGGTGTAATATGTTCTATACTGACAGCTCATCAGTGTAATATGCTCTATACTGACAGCTCATCAGTAGAATATGCTCTATACTGACAGCTCATCAGTGTAATATGTTCTATACTGACAGCTCATCAGTGTAATATGTTCTATACTGACAGCTCATCAGTGTAATATGTTCTATACTGACAGCTCATCAGTGTAATATGTTCTATACTGACAGCTCATCAGTAGAATATGTTCTATACTGACATCTCATCAGTAGAATATGTTCTATACTGACATCTCATCAGTAGAATATGTTCTATACTGACAACTCATTAGTGGAATATGTTCTATACTGACAGCTCATTAGTGTACATGTTTTATACTGACAGCTCATCAGTGTAATATGTTCTATATTGACAAGAAATTTTGCTACAGGAAAAAGGAAATTGAGCAAATATAACTAACAGATGGCCAGTATGAAACAACATATTGATATGGTTAACAATCAGACATGTATCTGGTGTAAAACTAAGCTATAAGTGTTAGGTTGTTAGACAGATGGCCAGTATTTCTCAGAATTATGTAAATATTGGCTGTGTAGACACAAATATTGACCCCAAACAACACCTCAGTAGTTGAATAGTCAGTATCTTGGTTTGATTTTTAAAGTAACTTCCAAATGACAGTATATAAAGTTACCAAAAAAAAACGTTACTTCTGAGGAACTGAACCCCAAACCATCATGTATATTGAATTTGTTTCACATTGATAATATTAGGCACAAATATTACCAAAAGTTTATTGTAGTTGATTGAAATGACATCTTTGTCTGTAGTTGTCTCATCTAGTTCCATTTCAGAAAACTGCTCTTCAGTTTCCCTTAACCACATGAGGAGTTCACTGTTTTTATTAAGTCCAGCTTCTTGTAATTCATTAAAATGCTGCAATGCTATCAAGCACACGTTTTCCCAATGGCAATGGAGAGACTGCAAATAGAAAGAAAATTTGTGCTTGAAAATATTTTTATTTAGAAATCCCAGTCTTTTCAAAAAAGTTAACAAATAACACAGGTGCTTGTAACACAGATAAGGAAATACACTAACAAAACCTGTAGTTCTCATGTTTCAAGGCCTACCTCAAGTCGTTGTTTAAGTTGTTTCTGCTCCTCCTGGTTTCCACATGATACAAGTTTCTGTTCCTTTGTTTTCCAGGATGAAAATACACCTGTGTGATATCTTAGATCTTCCTGGAAATCCTGAGGAACAATGAAGTTATTACATTTAACAATACTTTAGAGCAATGAAGTTGTTACTTTTAACAATACTTTAGAGCAATGAAGTTATTACATTTAACAATACTTTAGAACAATGAAGTTGTTACATTTAAAAATACTTTAGAGCAATGAAAAAGAATGTATTATATAAGTATTGCCATTTTCTTGTCATTAATATAAATAACTCGCAAAAAAGATCATCTTGAATCACATTTTATATTTCTGTTTAACAACTTACTGGTTTTAATAAGTTGTAGGTTTTACTAGCAACAAGTTTCAGTTTAACAACTTATTGGTTTTAATAAGTTATAGATTTTACTAGCAACAAGTTTCTGTTTAACAACTTACTGGTTTTAATAAGTTATAAGTTTTACTACCAATAAGTTTCAGTTTAATAAGTTATAGGTTTTACTAGCAACAAGTTTCGTTTAACAACTTACTGGTTTTAATAAGTTGTAGGTTTTACTAGCAACAAGTTTCAGTTTAACAACTTACTGGTTTTAATAAGTTATAGGTTTTACTAGCAACAAGTTTCAGTTTAACAACTTACTGGTTTTAATAAGTTGTAGGTTTTACTAGCAATAAATTTCAGTTTAACAACTTACTGGTTTTAATAAGTTATAGGTTTTACTAGAAACAAGTTTCAGTTTAACAACTTACTGGTTTTAATAAGTTGTAGGTTTTACTAGCAACAAGTTTCAGTTTAACAACTTACTGGTTTTAATAAGTTATAGGTTTTACTAGCAACAAGTTTCAGTTTAACAACTTACTAGTTTTAATAAGTTATAGGTTTTACTAGCAATAAGTTTCAGTTTAATAAGTTATAGGTTTTAACAAGTTATAGGTTTTACTAGCAATAAGTTTCAGTTTAATAAGTTATAGGTTTTACTAGCAACAAGTTTCAGTTTAACAACTTACTGGTTTTAATAAGTTATAGGTTTTACTAGCAACAAGTTTCAGTTTAACAACTTACTGGTTTTAATAAGTTATAGGTTTTATTAGCAATATGTTTCAGTTTAATAACTAACTGATTTCCTGAATAGACAATAAAACATGTCAGATCTTTAAAAAAGGTGTGTACCTTTAAGATAAGTGTTAGTTGTACTAAATCCATGGAACCTTCTTTTGTTGTTTTCCAGGAATGTTGCTGGTTTTCTGCCTGCTCTACCCACCATTCTAGAAGTGTTAAATCAGACAAAAACTGGTTCCTTTCTTGCTGTTGTTGATGGTCTCTGCCTAAATAAAATGTTCGTAAGGTTTCCCATCTCTGGAATTCTTCTGAAATAAGTTATTAAAAGCTATTAGGTTTATACGATGTGTCTACCTTGACATTGCTGAAGCTTGTGTATGATTCAAATGTGAACATGCTTGATAGACATATTAAAACCTCAACTAACGTGTTCATTACACATAAACACAGTCAAATCAATCTTTAAAAACTATGATTTTGGTTATTTCAAGTCCACTGGGATAATTTAGTGATATGGTTGCATGTTAATTAACAGCAAATGGTTGTTATGAGAACAGATCTAACTGTACAGTGTAAATAATATGTTACTCATATAATCCAGATGATTCAGAGAAAAAATTTTCAACTCAATTTTACTAATGTGACACTGTGGCTTACCTTTGGCACAATGCTGCATTTCACTAGTCAGATTGTACAGTAATGTATCATATTCTGCTTGTTCTGTCAGATAAGTTAAAACATCAATGCTTGATCGGCAGGCAGCAATCAATCTCGACTGTAAAAATTAATGTTATTACTTAGGAGTCTGACCAAAGTTCAATGACATAGGAATTTTGGAAAAGATTGGGACTGGAATATATAATATCCACAGTTTGATAAAGAGTTAGTAATAGCCCCTTTAAAATTATAAAAATTTCCTTACTTGAACGAAACAGTAGAGCAAAACATTAATCTTTAAGACAACTTAATAGTTTCATTTGATTTCTGCCAATATCATAAAAAAATTAATTCCCAAATCACCAGCAATTCTATACTTGTGAACATTTCTGCTAAATGAGTAACAAAAAGTTTCCTAAATCATATTTACACTTATTCAATGGTTATGTATTCAAATCTTCTGATATCTGAAACACTTATATAAAGACTTACATCAGTCTGAGGACTAACTTCAGTTCCTAAGCTCTCACATGTCTCTCTGTATACTGCACATTCCGCCTCAGTTAACCTTTCCCTAGCTTCAGTAAGAGCACTTTTCAATTCAAGCTGATATTCACTGTTTGCATCAACTCCCTCTGGTGGTGCCAAACGTTTGTTGACTGCTGTACAGCATATAGAGAAACAATAAAATATTGTTTTTATCTAATTACCAAGTTGATGTCTACAGATCAAAACAAATCTTAGATACATCTAGCTAAAAGTAACTGTTCAGTAAAAGTGATGTTTACAATAAACGGACATACAAGAATGTCAAGATAAAGTGCATTGAATTACTGAATTAAAACAAAAACAATTAAACCTCTAGTTTCAAAGTACTTTTCTGAGATCGAGAAAAAAAAAACTAATGAAAAATAATTTAAAATATTAAAAAAATGTACTACAGTACCAAACATTAAACTAACTCAAAATAGAAAACTAGAAATCTTAACAATTACCATTCTTCAGGCAAGAGAGTTAATAAATCTAGCTATGATTTATAATGGTAGTATTATTCTTGGTCTAACACACTTGGTTTGTTGCTGTTACCCTTCTAGTTATTACACAGGCCTGCAATGGTTTTTACTGTCTTGAAATGTTTACATGTTCTACAGTAATTTCTGTATGCTGAATCCGAAAATATCTATTTTTCTCCATCACGTACAGATTTTTCACAAAACGTCATATGTACTTTTACATAAGTGAATCATTTTCATTGAAATCGGGTCACACTTTGTTATGCTTAGTTAAAATGTTGACAACCACTGGCTATATTTTTCTCTAGACCAATCACAAAGTGAGAATCTTATTGATTCTTCAAGAACCTACAAGAAACACACCACTAGTATATAAACGTTAACAGGCCACATGATGTGTCATTTCTGGATAGCATTTGTTTGTGCATGCACTTTGACATTATATTTTTCTCCAGACCAATCACAAAGTAAAAATCTTATTGATTCTTCAAGAACCTACAAGAAACACACCGCTAGTATATAAACATTAACAGGCCACATGATGTGTCATTTCTGGATAGTATTTGTTTGTGCGTGCACTTTGAGATTATATTTTTCTTTTCAATATTATTTATTCATTGCTATGGCAACAAAAGGTTGTGTAAATGACCCCAACATATTCTGTTATATCTGTGGTAAATTGGATCTAAGTAAGTTTTTTTCTTTCAGATTTGTAAAAAATTCTTATGTGATAGAAAAAATTAATATTATTTTCAAAATCTGTGTAACTGAATTATGGAAAATTCGTTATTAAAACCAAAAACAACTTTTATTAATCCCACACCAAACCAGCTGTTGTAAGTAATATTTCTATGATAACTTCAAATAAGTTAACTTGCACTAGAAACAGGTGTTAAAGTTTACAAACTTATATTTAAGTCTAAATCTAAATATTGAGAAGATCAACAAGAAATACCTTATAAACTGACTTAAGATGACAATCTAGTAACATGGGAAACTGAGAATGACTTCAGTTTTTAAACATCATTACTAAGATGTTATTACATTTTAAAAAGTTATAACCTACATGATCCTGATTTATCGGTGTCTTCAAGGGATGACTGAAGAAAATCTTCTAACTTTTCAGTTTTATCAACAGAATACTGAAAACCCATAAAAATACATTTCTTAAACCTGTGACAAAAGTGAACATTTAAAACATGACAACGTATAGCGGTCTAATACAGTGGTGTAAGGGAACATTTAAAGCATGACAATATATAGAGGTCTCACACCAGTGGTGTAAGTGAACATTTAAAGCATGACAATATATAGAGGTCTCATACCAGTGTTGTAAGTGAACATTTAAAGTATGACAACATCGAAAAG